TTATAATTGCATTTTCGTTTCCTTTATCTTCCATTAAGGAGCTCTGGTAGCTAATCTCACAGTCAGCAGTGTGAAACTACCAGCGGCTCCATGGGAGAAAGATGAGGCTTTCTTCTCCCATAAAGATTTACAGCTTTGGAAATCCTACACAGGGTCGCTATGAGTCAGAATCAATTCCACAGTGTATAACCACCACCACCATCACATTCCATTAAGCTTCCTGGGAGCTTACTGGATTATTAGCTGGGCTGTTAACCACAAGGTCAGCAGTTTGAGTCTACCAGCTGATCTGCAGGAGCAAGATGAGGCTTTCTACTTCAGTGTATAGGGAACTCTTTACAGAGTTGCTGTAAGTCAGAGCTGACTTGATGGCATACAACCACCACCATCTTCCACTAGACTTAACTCCTTGAGGCTAGAGACTGTATCTTTTTTTTTTATTATTGTGAATTACATGATAGTTTACATGGGAGAACTAGAGCCTGTATCTTACCTTTCCTTCTCTGTATCTTTCCCACCTGCATAGGTATACCACATAATAGGTACTTACCAAACGTTTAATAAATGAGTAGAAGCTGGTGTTTGAAGGGGAAGCCTGTGGAGAAGTTTTTCCTTGAGCCTGGCTTCAGATGTCATCAGATTGTTACTTCTCACCTGGCAGAACACTACCTAATGAGATCTATGGTGTCTTTTTTAGGGAGCAGACTGCTTTGTGTGTGTCCATCCTGGAGAGATTGCTCCAAGCTTTGGAGCCTGTTCACATGGCCCGAAATCTCCGGGGTGACCTGCAGAGAGGACTGACTCACCCTGATGATTCTGTAAAGATCCTCACTTTGTCCCAGGTATGAAATGTTAACAGTACATGTAAGAAGGGGACTTACATTTAGTGACCATCTTGCTCTGGTCCAGGCTCTGGATTGGGTGGCAAAAACAGATGAAGAAAAAACAATTCCTGTTTGTCCCTAAGAAAATGCCCAGTCTAGTGAAGAAGACAAGCATGTATGTACACAGCTAACTATAACCATGGGTATATGAGCTAAAGTAAGAAGTTCCCTAAGTACCATCTGAAATCATTCATTCATCATATACTAATGGAGGCCCTTTTATATACCAGGTACAGTACCATATGCTGGTGGAGCTACCAAGTTTATTTCTTTGTCTCAAGTTGTTTCTGAACTAAAACAAATCCCACTGCCACTGAGTCAAATCCAATTTATAGTAACCCTAGAGGACAGTAGGAGTCCTGGTGTGGTGCTGTGGATTAATGCACCAGACTGCAAAGCCGTTTGAACTGCAAGATTGGCTGTTCAAGCTCACCAGCTGCTCCTCAGAAACCCTAGATAGGGTTGCTATGGGTCGGGACCAACTTGACAGCACTTAACAACAACATAGGACAGTAGAACTGCTCCATAGGATTTCCAAGGCCTGTAAATCTTTATGGGAGCAGACAGTCTCTTCTTTCTCCTGTGGAGCAACTGCTGGGTTTGAACCACTGACCTTTTGGTTAGCAGCAGTCCGGTGCTTACTTCACTGTTACACCAGGGCTCCTTCAAGATGCTCCTAGTTAAGAAGAAAAGATTCCCATGTGTTCAGATAGCTACTCTACCATGTTAGCTCCTATATAGTGACATGAACCAAGCACTATCTTGTTGTTTAGTGCCGTCGAGTTCTTTCCAACTCATAGTGATCCTGCCTAGGATTTCTAAGGAGCAGCTGGTAGGTTTGAACTGCTGACCTTGTGGTTTGCAGTTCAGTGCTGATCCTACAGCGCTACACCAGGAGTCCAAATACTATCTTTTTTTTTTT